ACACACACACACACACACACACACACACACACACACACACACACACACGCTCCATTTTATTTTGCTTTTAATTTACTGTATAATAAAATCCTAGTACGAACACCAGACTCTCACGAAAGTTCCTTAATGTGTTTTTTACTAATAATCTATTATTTACCATTGTCTTTGTGTGAGTGAATAAAGTTATTATTATTATGAAAAGCCCTTGGGAAAAGTGTGAAGTGCCCTTTAACGTAACTGGGCCAGATAGTGGCGAATTGTGGCCTAAACAATCCCTCAGAGAACAGGCCCGTCATTACAATATTCATTAAAGATATATAATTTCCTCAGGACCTACGTATCGTCTGGCTACACCTCAACGTTGAACTTCACGCCTACAAAGGACGTCCATTTTGGAACCGTCTTTTGTTCTGCGGTTAACGCCGTGGGAAAACAGGAGACGCCATGTTTGTACAAGATTGTGCATGCCGGTAAGTTATTTAGAAAAGGTAATAGGTACTTAAAACCCACCTGGTTATCATGGTAGGGGTATATAAGCCCATTTAATTTAAATTTTTAACTCTAGAAACCAATTCATGATTATCAATTAGGAAAGTGGGCAGTAAGACAACATACGTAGGATGGGAACAGCGAATGTATATTTAGAAAAAAATGAAGTTCAGAGATACTAAGCTAATATTTATTTTTATTGAAAATAATGATGATTTTTTTACCATGATGTTAATCAATTCTTTTTTGAAAATACTCCACTATTTTATTCTTCGATCTGACAGGAGCAATCAGGTTAACTCCAGTTTAGTTTAGTTAATCCAGAACATTCCATCTGCATGTCATTGACTTACTCACCACTCGCTCGAAGCGCTTTGCTTTTTTTGTTATAATGTCAAATGACAGGTAGAACAAGTCGTGCGCCTGGTGGTAAGTAATACGCCTATCTAGTGCCACTCAAAACCTTAAATCGCAAAGATCTGAGAGCACTGACATAAGACATAAGTTGACAAGTCCCCTGTGTCTGTGATTTCATCTGCACCCTTGCCCTTTCAAACTGGAACGCAGTAATACTGCTTGGCGGTAGAAATAGTGGCTCTTTCAATTTAGTAACTTTATACAATTTTATGCATATGTCATAGCAGTTCCGTTGGAAACGTGTAGTAGTGTATATATTGGTCCAAAAGATCCAAACCACGGATTGATGTGGTCTGAGATCCAAAATATAGGACAATACCTCTACCATGAGATAACAGTAACAGTTATCAATACAAAATATTGTTTCTTCTTGTAACCATTAGGAGCACTGTGTAATTTGCTATACAAAATTGTGAGCTAATTTACTCGGTCGCATCTCGTGGTAGAGGCACAGGTTAAAAAAGGAATGTTTTTGGAGTAAATAAGTATCTATGTTTTTTGACAAAAATATCAACCGAAGAACCATCTTTTTTGCTTTCCTATATTGTTTACTTGAGTCATAAGTTTCAAATAATACCGCAGTGTTCTTAGGTTTTTGTCGACGGATATCATGCATTTTTCAGCGGCGAAGACTTGTGAAAGTTAAGGATACTTATTTTTAAGTGTTCTTTCTTGTTATCGTTCCCTAGTGGTTTTATCGGCAAATTGTCAATGTCATGGGCTTATAAACGACTTCAATTTCAAATTGAAGTGCTTTTTCATCTAAATCTCGTAAATAAACACAACGTTTCGGGACTTTTTACAGATTTCATGGTCACCGTTGACTGTAGAGACCATGGGACCTGTAAGAAACCCGGAACGTTCTCCAGTTAATTACTCAGTTTAACGATTTCGTCACAGTACTATTTACTAAAGTCCACTTTTCACAGTAATAAGAATAGTACAAAAGATAGATCAGGTTAAAACGAATTTGAAATATCACGCGGCCAATTCATAGAGAGCGGTCGCACTCGGTTGTTCACTTTCCAAGTATCTCTCACAAAAAGTCCTTTTTTTCAATGCTTGCTAGTTTGTGAAGCATTGACCAACAACTACACATCTTATGTTCATATGGCTGCCGTGCCAATGATCATCATGTCATAATACAGACGCCTGATTAATTCAAATGATGCCAGCGCCACCCTCTCTGCAACCTCACCCAATTTGAGCTGCCAAACTGACGTGGCATTTGTAAACAAAGAAACTATGATCGACACTATGTCGTATAGTTAATATGATATGACTACCAGGACTTGGTTCATTATTTAACGTAAACAATGAACCAAATTCTGGTAGGTACATTACTTTTGAAGTGATATATCGCTCGGGCATAATGTATAGAGACAAATATTTAAAAAGCCTCAAGCAGACAAACATGACAACTGAGATTTACAAAGAGTAAAAACAAAACAAATAAAAAGAACAAAATTAATAAAGTTGTAAATTAGGGTTTTTGCAAAGAGTTTATCGGCAGTCGGCTGATGTGTCAAAGTGAGGTTTGTCAATTTCGTTCTAAACTGTGTGCACGTTTAAACAGAACTAATTAAGAATGACCCAACAATGAAATGACCAGTTTAAAGCGTTTGTCCTCATTCACGGTATCTCCAAAAGTGGTCAATAGATTCCAAGTGACTGGACGAACAATTCGTATCTCTGATTGTAACTGCCATGTAGAGCTTTAGTTCGCAAAGATTCGAGAGACACTGCCACTGCGCCTGTAACCCTGAGACATAAGTTAACAAGTCTCTCTAACTCTTCAAAACCGGAACAGCGACGGCGGCAGAAATAGGTAGGGTAGCAGTATTTGTCTGGGTGAACTCTTTCACAAGGTACTCTATTGCTACTAATCTTCTTTCTGCTACTGCTACTAATTTTCTACTTAAGTTTTGGTAAATCACTATTACCATATATATATAGTTAGTTGCAAAGTTTCCTGTCATAACGCAGCCCTTTGGTAATCTTATTCGGCGAAAAACTAAAGAAGATCAATATCACATGCGGGCAATACAAGGACAATCTATTTTCTCAAACCCAAGGTATTGTTGGGGATACATAACGCATTTATTCGTCAAAGGAAACACAGGTTGTATTGAAGTTGACATGTAAAATAAGTATAGTTTCAGTGTCCGGCCAAATATTATGCATATAAACATATTGAATAGACATTATTATGTATATAATAATATCGAAGATTATAAGACAATGAAGTTTGTGATTAGTTAAGTAAAAATTTAACTAAGAAATACCATAAATAAAAACTATATTGCAACTAAAAAAATTGTACTCTTATAATTGACTCTGAGTCTTTGATGTCACCCCCTAATACGCCAGTGTCCATAGCCGGACAAAAGTAATTCGGCTTTGTAGCTTTTAAAACGGAAAAATCTGACCTAAATCGCCTCGAACATATAATTTCGTAGTATGGATTTCAGATTTGGGAAGCTCACTCCATCCACTCAATTTATCAATTTCAAACCTGTAACTATTGATGATGTTTTACGACAAAATATTATGTAAATGTATTTAGACACATAGAATTTAAGTCTGCTTAAATATTCCTTAAAGATTTATCAACATCATGCCGTCTGCAACGAACAAGATTTTAGGATAAATGAAACAAGATCATACGTCGTTGATGAAGATAATAAATAACAAGGGCCCAGGAATAGAACCCAGCGGGACACTAGACGAGATTGGTACTATTTATTAACGTACGTTTTAGTAACGCATAAACATCAGTGTATACCAACCAGCCTTTCTGTTGTTTTTGCAAGAAGTTTTTCGATACGCGATTTATCACCCTTTTTATCGACAAGTGTGATAAATACAGATTCCAAATTGAGTGGACAGTGGAATACTATCCAGGCACGTTTCGCTATGAATACTAATTGGACCACACGCTTATTCATATTGAAGTTCTTAACACATTCGCGCGAAAGACGAACTATGCCGTCCTGAACATTTGTAAGTACTGTAGAACAACGTATTATCACGACGTTGAAAATTCCTTTATTTCATCGATTTATTCATTTTTTGTAGCAGTAGAGCTCATAGTCAAAGAGTACTGCCATCGTACTATTTCTGCCGCCAAGCGGTAATGTCAGCATTACTGTGTTCCGATTTTGAAGGGTAAGGGTGCTGGTGAAATTACAGGCATATGGGACTTGTCAACTAATGTCACCTGATATTTTATATAAACCTTTGTAAGTACTGTAAAACAACGTATTATAACGACGTTTAAATTCCTTTATTTCATCGAATAACGAAAAAGAACTATTTGGCAATACAAAATCTTAATAGTGACGTCATTGCTCTACTGCATACCAAAATAATGAATCTCTAGCCTTTCTCTAGCGACCCGCAGTATCAAAATTTCACAGGACAAGTAAGCATTACTCACTATTACAATGCCGGTGGAGGGGGGGGTTAAGAGACTAAGGTTTATTGACGTCAGTATCATTATTTGTTACATTTATTTAATACCCTGTAGACATCGAGTATATAACCAGAAATAGAGACGAAATGTCATTTAATTTGTTTAAAAACTATTCTGCCAAATCATTGCTGTGATAACTGCACTCCGATTGGCCAGCCCGAATTCAAAACAATTGACGGATATGTCGTCAATTGTTTCACTTAAAATCGATCAGTTTAATTTGAGCTTGGCTATAATGCAACTAAATTACGTATTTAATATTTAATTACTGATGAAATGTGATTCCGTTTGTTTTGTAATTAGATGTTTTGTTGTTTTTTCCCACACCACCGAATGGAACAGCCTCCATTGTTAGAGATATAATATTTATTACAATAAATACAAAATATTTTTGGAATACCCGGAGACGTACACACAGGTCAGTTGTTAGCGCTGTACTATTTCAGTTTTGTAATTTGTGTGTTGTTATATACTCGATGCCTGTAGAAGAGTCGTTAATAAATGTTTGCATTAATGTATGAGAAAAATATCTGTCACAACGAGCGCGTCAATCGGCAAAAGCGCGAATGTGTTAAGATGTACTTTATTGTTTACTTCAAAGTATTATGAATATTTAGAGATAAAATCGTTTGCAGGAAATGGTATTTCAAATATAAATGCACAATTGCTTTGTGCTGTTGTTTTTTCCTTTCTTTCCGTAAAGGAAAAGGCAAAGGTTTGACTAAATTTAAATTGTAAATTTCAATTCCAAGGATACGTAAATCGACGAATGACAGCACGTCATTTTGCAAGACGCAAGTTCGTTCGGAAACCACCTGCTCAAATCGATTTTTCTTCAGTAACGAAAAAATAGCAATTTGATGTTTTCTTACAGAAGAAGAAAATAAATAAATTGATTTTAGTTATAATACATCGTCATAATAAAAGTTGAAATGTAGTATAGGCAGCAGAAAATATCTACAACAAAAGATTAGATGTTTATTATAGATTTTGAACAAATGTGAACTTTACCTTCATCATCGTCAACTTTCAGAGTGAACTGCATTGACTTACAAATAAATGGACGACGGGTCTAATACATAAACCACGAAAAAAATGTCCCAAGTCAACCTATTTAAACGTAGTGACATGTAAAGGAATATGAAAAAGCTAAAACGTTGAATTTAAATTGTAATGTCATCGCAGTACTGTCTAATTTTGCTTGCTTCGCTGTCAGTCAAACAAACGAAGACTAAAGCGTGAATGACGCTATGCATACGATTTTAACGCCCTATAAGTTCGGACACTTTTTAGCGCGGACCCGACGTCCATATAATTGTAAGTCAATGGTGAACTGACTATGTTTGGAATTCATTCTTCAATCCGTCATTCATAGAGACACTTGAACCTTACGCATATAAATACGCAAGGCAAATTTGTTGGAAAGAGTGTACCTCAGCATTGATCCCATTTAAATTTGAAGAAAATATGCCACCTCTAAGGGCGACAAACTGGTGAACGAATCCAGTTTCGCGCACTTTCCGGTAACCGATTTCAATAAAACTTGGCAAATAGATGTAATTCCACGTACTTTTACGTCGGTTTTGTTTTAATAAAAAAGTTGCTTTATTATTATATTAGTTATTATAAATAGATAGATTGATCATAAAGATAGTTTGAACAACGGAGAAATACCTTTACTTATAGAAAATGACACCAATTAACGCTTCAGGCCCTTTACAAGTCCCAAAAACAAAATATATATACGTGATTAAAAAGAACTCGATAAATACCTTTCAATGCTCAACAGTTAATTTTTTTATTTATCACTAATCTGAGAGGGTAAGGCTTGGAGAGCTGTAATAGAGGTTTAATTGCGTAATACGGTCTCCAGTCTCTCATAAGGTATACGAAATTTAATATTGTTAGTCATTATTTAAATATGATTTTGGTTTATGATAATTTCTAGTGACGGGATATATAAGTCAAAATGGACAGGCGTGTCGCTTACCATCAGGCGCACGACTTGTGAAAAAAGGCCCTGTAATATAAGTTGATAAGTCTTGCATACCAGTAATTTCACTCTTACGTAACCCTTCAAAACTGGAACGCAGTGGTGCTTACATTTCTGCTTGGCGACAGAAATAGGTAAGGTGGCAATACGGCCCTGGATGAATTCTTTCACAAAGAACTCTACTGCTATTTAGGGTTTATTCCTTATTTTGAGACAATAAATAATTTTATTTAATTTAAGTATATTATTTTATAACAATATACTTAAAAACACCAAAAAGGCCACAGGTGTTGTGACTTGTAAGTAAAGTTTCTTTAACTTTAAAATGAAAGAGAGAACAATCTCTCTCTCTCTCGTGCTGGCTTGTTATTTATGATTGGTTCCTTGATGGCCAGACGTGGAATGACAGACGGTGGGTTCGTGTTAATAGAGTTTGGACCATTGTCCTTCACGCTGGTCCAAAGCGGGTTGGCGATTAAACACGTTTTTAAGGCTTGCTTGCTTCTGTCAGTTGTTGCAAATAGATGGGACAGTGGCCTACTAAGGCATTCGTACTCTCTTCATTTAAGTTTGAGTACTATCATTTATTTATTATTTATTTTTTGTAATACTAACACTTTTATGGATCTAGTGTTGACACAAATTAACTTATTTTACATATTTATTTTTTATTTTAATAATTTCGTTTGTTTTTCTGTTCAGGTCGCCCTGCGCCTCTACAAAACTGTTCTATAGCAAACCACAACTCGATCAGCTTACTTGTAGAATGCGTCGAAGGCTTCGACGGGGGACTAACACAGATTTTCGTCATGGAGGTCTTAGAGCTGCCGTCGTTGTTGGTATGAGTTTTCCTTCTTATCTACTCTGGAAATATGTACGTATATATTCTTTATTTAGCAAATAATGTTGTTTTTGGTAATCTAAGCTTAGTTAGCGATTACAACATGTATGTGTAGTCTGTGGTTCAAGTATATTAAACAAATGTACAATGACATCCTCAAACAATACAATATATTTAGAGCACAGGTTCCGAAACTTTATAGTTCACCGGCCATTTAGGCAAGAGTCAACGCTTGCCACCACAAATAATAATCGAAAATACGAATTTTTAATGAACTTAACACAAAATATCACTTGGGAAAAAATGTATATTATGTAGTGTAGTTTATACTGATAAGTCAGGCTATAAACTACCAAGGTTGTCATAGTCTAATTTAGACAAGTAGGGCAACTCTCGCCTCTTCGGCGCATAATGCCTACACTACATTATTTTAATTTTACCTACAGATTGTGAACATAATTTAAAAAATATATATATTTATCATATTCTCGTGCTATATTGAAATAACGTTTGTTAAGTGCAGTGTTACGTATTCAAATTTTAATACCAGGATTGCTGATTCGTATCTCGATTATAGGAGTATCTTATTATTGTGTCACTCTTGTTCAAACCCCCTTAAATACAACAATAAACACGTCTACTCTTTGACCACTTTTTAAACACCGAGCAAACGCTTTAATTCTACATATAACGAAGGCCTGTGTGACCAATGCTATGAGACGTGAGTGCACCGCGAGATGTGCGAGTGTGGGTCCGTATAATGTGCAGGGCGGTACGTCTGTATGGAGTTACCCCACTTGTCTTATTAGACTATGGTAGATAGATAAAACGTTTATTAGGATCTAGAGGCATACACACATAACAGAAAAATATATAATATAATAAAAGGAAAAAAAATCAGCAGAGTTGCAGCACTGCCTGACACCCAGTTACGTATGTGTGGTGTAGCAGTGCAAAAAGGTCATAACCCAGTATCGGTGTTTACTCATGAGTAAACCGCTGATTTTTAGCTATAACCTAGAGGATATCACGGATACGATAACCAGCTAGCTGATCCCATTTCATGTTGTATAAATTAAACAAATAATAATTTCGAAACTAAATAAATAGGAAAGATAATATAAATATAATAGAAGATAATATTTTATATTAGATTTAACTGTATTAATAATGTAATTAAAATTATAAACGGAATTTTTTTGTGAATATTATATGAAAGTTAATTTAATTATAAATAGGTACATCCTGTTGCTATTACACAATGTCATGTAAGCAATTTTCCTCCATCCGAGCAAAGCGCTGTGGAATACCTTTTTTTTTTGAGTGTCTAAAAGAAATGTGTAGTGTATCAGAAATATATAGGCGCATACCATTGACTTACAATTACATATATGGACGTCGGGTCCGCGCTAAAAAGTGTCCGAACTTATAGGGCGTTAAAATCGTATGCAGAGCGTCATTCACGCTTTAGTCTTCGTTTGTTCGTTGACAGCGAAGCAAGCAAAATTAGACAGTACTGCGATGACATTACAATTTAAATTCAACGTTTTAGCTTTTTCATATTCCTTTACATGTCACTATGTTTAAATAGGTTGACTTGGGACATTTTTTTCGTGGTTTTTGTATTAGACCCGTCGTCCATTTATTTGTAAGTCAATGGCGCATACGGACGGCTTTGCTGCTGTGCTTAGAAAGAGATTTCACTTTTTCTTCTTCACTTAGACAGAGTGACTTAGCTAGACAGCATTATAGGTGATATATCTTTCAATTGCGATTCATCCAAAGTACGATATTGGATCTTATTCATTAAGCAGTGCATATTGGATGTTATAATTTGTGGACATAGTGGGTTATCATTACGAAAATGTTAATGCACAGTTGGTGCCCTGAGATACCTGACCTCCTATTCGACCTTTTGGTTCTGAGGGCCTTCTTAAACATTCAATAGAGACGTGTAAACGATACTCGAATATTTTTGGTCGAAATTTGTATTTATTAAAGCCGGAAATAAGTAAAAAGTTTTGTAAAACATCATTTACTAATGACGCAATAAGGTAGTCGGTAAATAAGAAAATACTAACGAGAGTCTATTAGAAGTTCGAAGCTCAATCGATCGAATCGATCGAAGTTCAATGACTCAAGGTTTGGAATTATTTACCGTCTGTGGTACATACAACGCTTTTCATCACATTTGCGAGGAAATAAACATAATGATAATTTATTTCTTCTATGAATAAGTGTCGCTCCACAAAACAATAATTACAGGTTTTGCAAATGGCGGGTTTTTTGTTTTATTTTTTTTTTATAAAACAGATGGCCAGCTATTCTTCCAAAGATAATATTATACAACTCGTACTAAAATATTAGAGGTAAAGTATTAGAGGTAAAATTGCACAAAGCCTTGATGGTAAAGATATAAAACATATAATTTCAAAATACTAAGAATGCTGCAGAATTTGAATTTATAAAATGAATTTAGCAAATGTTTAGTTTTTTTCAGTACGTCAAGCTTTTATGAAATACGATTTTTCGAGCGTTAAAACTTTTTGCTTGATTTTCACGTATAAGAGAAGTACAGTGCAATTAAATTTAAAAAATCCGTAATGTTTAGGGAAAAGCCCATGGGCGTAATTCAGCACATTACAACAGATTTTCCTTGCATGTTATGGCACTTTTAACGAGCAAGTGTGATGAAAATTAATTTATATAAAGTTATATAAACGGCTCACTGGCTAAAGGTTAACTTTGTTTAATACCTTTCTTCACACTGATCTACTCAGAACCAAACAGTCTTTTAGGGGTTTAAGTATCTTAGGGCATCGACTATACATTGGCTATCCAAACTGTTCGTACGTTAATTATAGAGATAGAATAAATAGGGAATAACCTAGGGAATAAGGGAATAACCTTGCTGTATTTCATTAAATCGGGAAAAATACCTTCGTCAACGCACCTATTGAAAGCTACAGCTAAATGTAGCGAAATTAGATCAATAACTGAGTCTATAACTTTAGTTGATATGCACCGGAGATGTTCAGTTTTTTTAATATGCGTTGATTTAAAAGTTTTTATGATGTCTTGTGGATTAACATGACGGAAATTAAATAAACTGCCACAACCGTTAACATTTTCCTTTAGGAGATCTATAGCAAGAGAAGGGGAGGAATTTAATGATTCTCTAGTATTCACAGCAATTTCAGAAAAGAACGATTCAAAAGCTTGGGCTACCTTGTCTTTAGATTTTATTATAATGTCTAATTCTAAAACTATATCTCTATCGTGTTGTTTAACCCTGCCTAACTCTTTATTTATTATGCTCCAAGTAGTTTTAGATTTATTTATTGATTGTCTAATTTTGTCGCTTTGTGAAACTTAACTTTAGCAGCTATACATACTTTTTTAAATATTTTTGAATAATTTCTAACATATTTTATGAAATTGGTATTAGTATTATAAGTTTTAATAGCATATAGCTCATACAAACGAAACCTACTCTTATGAATACCTACTGTTGTCCAGTCGTTGAATTTAGTCTCTCTATGGAAAGTTAATGTTTTCGATTTAAATACATTATCAAATTCATTTTTAATTAAACCAAATATCGTGCTACCCCTACCCCATATACCGGAGTTTCCAAATACTTTAATTGAAACTATGGCCGATATTTTGAAATCTAATGATTCGTTCTGTGGTAATCGGTCTGTAGAGAAATTGATCTACCTTCTTGCTCATTTTACAATTACAAGAAGCCAATTGGCCACTATGGTCTGATCTTAAGCAATTTATTATTGATTTAGACACAACGTCTGTGTTACAAAAGATGTTATCAATACAAGTAGAAGAGGAGGCAGTGATGGGAGTTGGTTCTAAGAAAATATGATATAAATTTAATTGAAATAATTTACAAAGTAAAGATTTTATGAACAAAATACAATCGACAAACTTTTTCTAGCATTCGTATAAATAGAATAAGAAATTGTGGACAGTTTTATTTGTCGTATTGCCAATGCCAATAGGTTTTGATCTAGTTTTATAATTAGATTTTTGATGAGAAAATAATACAAAAAACTTTGCTACAGTTTTAAATTTTTGCACAGAAAACTGTTCGTTCCGTATTTTTAAATGAAATTGAATGATGAAATTCCGATCTTTCCGGGAAATGCCACATCAACGACATTAATCATGATGTCGTATTCCGAGAGAAAGGTCCGTGTACAGTGTTGGTGTACGACAGAACTTTGAGTAGATTACCAATAACGTTTTAAATTAATGGTTTTCGTGTTTGTCATTCCATTTTCGGGGTATAAAGTAAAGGCTGCAAAATATTGGAGTGTAGTATTAAGTTATTACCAAACAACTAGTGATGCGCGAGTTTGGATGTTAGTAATACTTATCATTCGAATGGTCACAATCTTTCGTTTAATTCGAATCCAAGCACACGAATGATTGTGCCTGGATTCCCCTACCATTCGGTCGGATGCACGAGTCGAATGATTATTATGTCGGGACCGCTTGGAACTCTACCATGTCCTTATCAAAATATCCCTATCCCCGTCACATTTACGGTATTTACCATATGTCGGAGAGGGCTAGGTAGACACACTCTATGGAATCTATTGATTAGTGATACTAATTAGTAATGAATTATCATTTAGATCATGCGAATACCAAAATTAATTAAGTTACTACTTATCATTCGAATGATAGGATTAGTAATTACTAACAAGTTAAATATTAAAATCATTCGCAATCACGCGTTGTTACAGAAAACATTTCTACGTCAAGTAAAACCTCCCTCTGAAATGATAAAAAATCATTTTTATTTATAGGAAAACATACTATTTTATAAAGTAAAAAAGTTTCTTTTTTATGATATTACATTTTAATAATTAAATAATATAACGAATAAGTCGTGTATCCGGCGGCGCCCACTAACGGGATGGCTCGGCAGGGACTCTTCGAACATGCAAGCGCACACTAATGCGCGCAAGCCAAAGCATTCCCAAGGCTGCTGAAACATCCGCAAATGATTTGAAATGGCACATAAACGAGAAACGCTCCTCAATTTTGTACAACAATTGCGTTTTGGCTCATAGGACTTCCATATGCGTTTCAATTGTCGTTGAGGAGACCGCGGTAACGAACACAGCAAAAACCAAAGTTTTGAGGTCGGTCTTTAACATAATTTTTTATATAATAGTTATTTAGTGTTTAAAATTTATAGATAAATTTGGGGAATTATGGAATTGTGATTGAAGTAACTCTTGAATACCATAAGAATATGCAGAGACTGATGTACTATTGCTAAAATGTATACATTTGCTTCTTAGGTACGAGCCAACGTGACCTCGAACCACACACCCTCCTTCGAAGTTTACAACCTAGATCGAGGCTCCAGCTATTCCCTCAACTTGTACGCAAGCAATGCCAAAGGAAGAAGCGAGGTGGTCACCCTATATACCGTCGCTTTGAGATCGCCGGACAAGTACATAGGTATGTTTATTATAAAATAAATTGGTCAGGCCAATAGGGTTGGCATAACAGGGCGCGACTTGCACGAGAGCGACTCAGAAGCGCGAGAATAACAGTATGTTAGTATGTTTTTTTTATAATACCAAGCTACGGGACGAAAGTGTGTACCTGGTGGTAAGCGACATGCCTATCCATGACAGTTGCAGTGCCACTCAGAGCTTTTAATCGCAAAGATCTTAGGGGCACTGCTACTGCGCCCGTCCTGAGACATAAGTTGAAAAGTCCCATGTGCCTGAAATTTCACCCTTCGAAACCGGAACACAGTAATGCTTACGTTACTGCTTGGAGGCAGGAACAGGTAAACCTCCGCCTAAATAACTCAACCAGATTGTGGATGTTCTTTTAAAAGGGTTAGGTTTCAAGTATCAAGAATAAACTGGCGTGTATCTTGATGAGAGTGGAGCACACAAAAGAGAATCGGGGAGATGTCCCGTCTCAGCCCACTTCAGACCTGTCTGAAGTGGGCTGAGACGCTGTGTCATAGTATGTACGTTGCATGCCTTGAGCTGGTCAGAGGTTTATGTCCATGCAGTAAGAATATACAAACTTTGCGCTTTCACACACACTTTGTAATTATTACTTTGTAACGGACAGTTGTCAGAAAAAGGTCCCTTGATTTCTTTTATTAGAGAGAGAAAGTAAATACAAAATAAGGAAAAACTCAAATTAAGGTAGGCTAATTTGCATACCAAAACTTTTTAATCTTATAAAATTTTGTTGCATTAATATACACACATCAGAAATGTATAACAACACATCAAACACGTTTTTGCCAATTACTTTTTTTAATGAATTTATTTAGTACCAATGATTTTTCTTGGCTAATTTCATACCTTAAAAATAAATGAATAATTTAATAAATTTATATAGATATTTTAATTTTATTTTAATAGGGTAATCAAATATTTAAAAAAAAAACCTTGATACCTAAACAATTTTGGTGTGTGTTTATTGCTGACTGCACGATGGGTTTTGTTATCTGTTTTGTTTACACACATATCATAAACCCTCCTAAATTGATATTTGAATATAGTTTTCGTTTATTCATTACAAAATTTCTACGTTAATATATTATTACATCATTTTACGTTACTATTTATAATGGCCGTGAATTGTGTATGGCTGTTTATAATCACCTAAACGGGGCAAAGGGAGGAGTTTCTTGCGTTTTCTGAAAGTTGAAACGAAGTTAGTAAAAACTTATGTCTGAGACGCCCTAACTTCGTGAGCTAGTAAAAAAGGGTTCTCGAATTTTCAATTTGTATTGCCGGTAGATATTACGTAGTAAATATACCTAATTATTAACTAGGTAATGATAAAGTTGGACACGCAATTTTAAATATTTTGGTCACTTTATTTAAAGGTACCTGTCAAAATATAATATTTTAAGTGTTTTTAATATATTTTTTAAAGAAATCATCAATATTATTGTAGTTAATGAATTAATGAAAATATATGAACATGTGTAATTATTAGGATTCTATTAATATAATTATAGATAACAGACTTGCGTTAGAATCAATATTATAATAATAATAACGCACACACTAGGCAAACCCTGAGTCGCGGGTGCCATGGACTCACACATACACAACCACAAATTACACCCAAACTTACGAGAGAAATAAATTTAGGCCGTACATACATATTTCTCTCGACCCAGGAATCGAACCTGGGACCTCTGCGTGGCAGTGCGGCATGGTAACCGTTCGGCCACAGAGGCAGTTAAATTTAATAGAATTTTCGCTATGTTGCCGCTCTAGCCACGTAATATTACGAGAAAGTGATGGGTAACCCTGCCACTTCACGCACACATTTGCGCGTGTGCAGATAGCGCCTTGCTGTACGTAGTAGTAGTAAGTAATTAACTTTCGGTCGGTAAGAGTCTACCTTTACACACGCGTTTAAACGCGATGCAAGCGCGCGACTGCACCGACACAAACGCGCGATTGCATAGCTGCTAAAAAGTCACCGTATGTATGTGCACCCACTTAGATCCGAAATAGTAGTTTAAATTCCATTTATTTACTTTTAAACGCAAGCGTTAGAAGCAGAAACCTTGATATTATATTAAGTTTTTAGTTATAAAATAAAGGATTCGTTTATGTTTCGTTTAGTTAGCTGCGTAATTGCGTAATTTGTACATTGTTATAATAAAGGGGAATGTGGGTCAATGCAAACATGTTGATACTTTA